AGTGTTGTCTCTCAGTAAGGGACTCGGGTAGGGAATAAAAACGAACTTGGTTTCACCACCTGCAAGATCTTACAGTAGGTATAGTGTAGGCAATTCTGTGTGGAGAAACCACCAAGAAAACAAATTTCTGCGTTGGAGTGGAACTAAAGCATCTTTTCACATGTGACGTTCGGTAAGGAGAATAGAAAGGACGCATTGTTTCTTCTCAGTGATCACTAAACATAAAAAAAACGTTTTTATGACCGGGCAAACCGAACTTGAGCCGAAAATCGGGTGTGTATGCATCAAGGTCAGAGAGATGTGAGGCAGATTTGGGTGTGGGTTTAAACTTCGTTCTCAAACCCGAAGAAAATAGCCCAGCAAACAGTTTGGAGCCGTCGGACCTGATTAGGAGCAATAGGAGTTGGTGTTACAATCTAAACGACGAGGCTGGAATTCGCAAGGAAAACAGAGAGATTGCAAATGGGAATCATCATATATTTGTAATGCCCTACTCTTAAGGTTTCTGAAAATTCGTCGACAACCCACGACCGGTTTCGCTCTTCTTGGTGCTCATCAAGTAGGCGCAGTCCCCGAGTTTCCGTCAACCTTATGTTCTACTTGAATTTTCAGCAACCCTATGAGTAGTGCGTTACAAATATACATGTATCGCGATATCTCGAATATTGTAACGACTGAAACATGAGGCGGCCTGGTGCAGCACATGCAGTTGCCTGAAAACATTACAAACGAGAGATTCAGCTGGGTTCCAGGTGAGTCTCTCGAAAAACCAAATTAATTTGCAAATGAGTGAGATTCATCATAGTTTATACCCGCGTTTGTCTGATGATCGCCATCCCACCTCGCACGTGGACTGGTAAGTCACACGGGGCTTCTGTTAGTTGGGTGCTGGTATCCCCTGGTGCGGCACTGTCGGTCATGTACCGTCTGTGGTTCAGTTCTTTCGAATCAGTTCCCGTATGTACTCTAATTTCCGGTTTGGGTTACTCGTACATGGTCGCACATTCTTCCGGACAGCTTTATTATTTCGCTGTCGACATTCCGTTACAGAAAGTATTTTCAGAATGAGAGTATCCAGTCTCCCTTTGCATCGCCAAATGCGTGTTTCATTAAGCACCTGTTACAAAAGTTTGACTCTATGCTTCGAAGCCGGTAAAGTCCAGAATGATGCGGTTCTGGCTGCATCCTGATTTGGGCAAGATGGCTCAAGTGGTTAGAGCGCGAATTTACTGACCGGAAGGTTCGTGGTTCAAACCCGACCTCTGCCTCTCAACTTCCCCTGTCTAGGCTTGGGCAACCTGGCAGTGTCCGAGCCCTCGTGCTTCCTTCGAGTGGCATGGCAGCTAGGTACCGAAAGGGTGCTACAGCTGAACGATTTGTGTTTGTTTTTTATTTACAAAGTTGTTGAGTCCAACAATTATTAAACGATTGGATCGCCTTCGGCTATTTTGGTATTAACGATCGTTTATTTTGATGGCCCACCAGAAAAAGTGAGTAGGATGGAATTTATCCTGTACGGATCCACACATGCATTTGTAATCATGAACTTTTTTGTTGCGTCACAGAAAGTGCTTTCGGCTGTCGGAAAATCAATGACCTCGGTGCGTACTCTCTGTGGCCGGATAACTGATATCATCGGTGGGCACAGCGAGTTGGAGCGGGTGATTTTATGTCCACATGTTGAGTCTGTGTTCATTCTTTTAACCAGTCTCCACCACGCGGTATATTGTCAAATCAGAGAAAGTTTATTTTAACAATTTACTGAGATGCGAAGAGCCGGAAAATTAGAATACAGGTTCCCAAGGCTGTGTGTGACACCTCATTATTCAGGTGGATTTGTTCTCTACCCATTTACCTGAGATTCACAGCTTGCCAATGCAGTTACGACTACTTCCTGTTCCCGTCTGCTTAGTTAAGACCATTTTTGCCCAGTTTATCCTGAACCTGTTTTTCGTTCACCAGAAGACGAGTGAATTTTCCCCATAGCTGATGCTTTCGACATCGGTAGACAATTTCTTCAGGACATGATTGCATTCGTCAATCCTCTCGTCTGTGGAAACGTGTCATGACTAGGTAGTTTCGGAAATTGTGTGCCAGTTGCTGGCTAATATGTTAGTTATACGACTTGCTGTACGTTTAGTGCCATAGTGACCTCTGTGGTTTCTGCGGGATGAATCACCGGCCGCCTATGTCCCCACATAAAGATGGTTCGTCTGTCTCACTACACCATCCAGGTTGGTTTGGTTTCTTCCACATGTCGGGTCGCACGTCTGGTGTGTTTGGATCGCCAACACGTTCGTCTGTTTCATTTTTGCACCGCGTGAGGCAACTAAAACTGTTGTGCTGTCTGACGTCCGTGGGTTTTTTCGCTCCGTGTCTGAAAAAAAAGAACCGCGCAGGGTGATATTCACAGTATCGCATTTTGTTTTGAGCTCACACTCATTGAAGCGAAGCATTGGTTGTGATTTGTATCTTGTCACTTTTGGTCACGTGGTTGAAAGCATTGGGTTTTTTTTCGAAAGCTTTCCGGTCATTTCAGTTTGTTGTACTGATTTGTTGGCATGAAATGGCTCAAGAGGCTAGAGCGCCAATTTACTGGCCAGAAGGTCCGTGGTTCGATCCCGGACTCTACGTCTCGACTTCCCCCGTCTAGGCTTGGGAAACCTCACAGTATCCCAGCCCTCGTGCTCCCTTCGGGTAGCATGGCATCTAGGCACCGGAAGGTTGTTACAGCTGAACGATCGCTGGCATACCAACTTGAATGACAAAAGGATGCCACTTGGATGACCACACTCCGTTAGATTGTCAACTGCTGCGTTTCGTTTAGAGCGATACTTCTTCAGTGATGTACTCAAACACCGACGTGCCCGTTGGGTGGATTCTCTGGCTGAACGACGAGTAGCGCTTTATTCTATTTCAGTACGAATTGATTGTCTGTGGCTGTACGGCCTATTCTTTTACTACTGACCGATAGCTCGTGGATTTGCGTTTTCCTTGGGATACATACTACTGATGATCCTCAGTGAGGATGGAACAACTGTACAGTGCTTTTCGGTTTTTCAGATGAGATCGGCTTCACGTACAAGAGCGTATCTCTACTATAAAACATTCTTCAAACTTTTTGACAGTTACAACCAACGGCTTCGTTTCAAAGCCATGCGGGGGCCCTCTGTTGATGAACGACTAAAGCCGTTCTTCCGAGCCAAGACTATCCCATCAGCTAATCGCTTGTTTTGTTATGCCCCAAGTTGACGTTGATACTGACGAATCGAGCAAAAATATTCGTCCGGCAGCATCTGTGCTGGCATTCACGGTTACAACGATGAATGGCTAATTGTACCAAACCTAGGTAACTAGATCGCTCGGATCAAGGTGATTGATCGGTCAGGTTCAACAACTCCTTGTAATGGTCTTGTCGAGCGAACGATTATTAGCTTTTCAAATTAGGACTCTTCTGTTCATCTGGTTTCCCTGTACGCCTGTCTTGGGTATTTGTCATGGCAGTTCTGACGCGTGGCCTGCTTCATTGTAGTTTGTCCAACCCGGTACAAATCCCCGAATACGTCCAGTCAACTCGTTCGTTTTGATATTCGTTCAATTTCTTGCTTGCTGTTGTTGTAACGAACGTCTCAGTTCATCATCTACCACGTTTCTTTGATTCTTTCACACCTTACAGCAGTGAGGAGGTCCGTTGTTCATTGGACGAACTGGATGCAGTCATTGCCACCTACGACGATGGCTCAGGAAGACAAAATGCACAAGAAAACACGAGCAAAGCTGCCATTTGCTGCCCACTCAATCACGCTTCATCTTCCTTTGGTAAACGAATCACAGATTTGCCTCAGAACGAGGCGAGAAGAAACTCTTGCACGTTCCTAGAAAACGAACGGTTGTCTGGTGCGGCGGATAGCACGGATTATTCCACCGCCACTTTGCGTAACCCAAGACGTCAGTCAGACAGGCAACAATCCATTGAGCTACAGTCTTCCAGAACCACCGGCTCGTTCCACACTGGTAAGTGTTCTCGATTGTTGGACTACTGAGTCGAATGAAACTTAAATATCCGATAAGATTGAAATGATTAGAGTTCAGTGGGCATTATGGTTTAGGGATGTTTCCAACCAATGAATCAATTTGTCCAGCTCTCCTCCGGTCAACCTTAAGCAAACTAATTGATCTCGTCTAGTTATCGAAATCACCATTGCATATTTTGACCAGGATTCCAGCCTCCGTTCGGGACAGGATCTTAGTTTATTCCATGACAGCGAGGAGGGCCTGGTTAGTTGACGCATCAGCTGACCGCCACAACTGAAATAGATTGTTGGCGGTGCTTTGCCGCATATCCCAGTAGGCAATCCGATGCTTGAGAGAGCCCGGAGATTGGGAAACGTCCCACTAACCACAGAGTTTGTGATCCAAACTCCTTTTCAACTTACTGGTTGCTTTTTGAACAACTTGCGGCTGTGCAGGCCGTATGTTCCCTTATGGTGTCACGATGCGGCAGTCTGATGCATCTCATGTGACTTTTGTAAGTCCTCATCGTTCAATCGGTCATCCAGACTGTCATTGGCTCTTAGCTCACCAAATTCTCCTAAACTGTTTCACCTCTTCCCCTTTTTCATCTAATCGATTGTTTTCCACATTCCCTCTTCTGAGTTCAGTGCACCGAACTTTTGGACACGCCGCTTTTGAACAGTCCTTCATTCCGACTTTGATTTCCTTGTTTAAGTAATCCATTCAGGTGAACGAGAGTACGTGAATGACAACAGGACATGCACACCTCTTTGTTTACGTTCCACATCGTTACCCGTGTTTGTAAAATACACTTTTAGGATGCCTCTCTGTCGTTGTCTTGCGTCTTGAGTCCTTGTTTTTTTTACTAACACACTTTCATCTGTCTTGTTTCCCGACCGGAGTGGAGAGATGTGGAGGACCACTTAATTTACCACTTGTTTCTTACTGAGTTAGGGCTGAATTCGGGTAGTGTGTGAGTAAAATTAGTCCGAGTAAGAGTGAGTAAAACAAACAAATCGACAGTCAACGAACATACAAGTTGTACGCACCTGACTGTCAGCGTTCATATGAAAGCTTGAGTAATGTCCATCACTATGCTGTGTTTCAATAAACGTACTTTTACCAGCAAGGAAACAGAGATAGCTCAGTGGTTAAGACGCCAACTTAGTAATCGGAAGGTCCGTGGTTCGAATCTAGCCTCAGGATCTCCACTACTGCTTGAGCAGTTGGGCTTCCTTCGGCTGGCATGATAGCTAGGCGTCGAAATGGTGTTACAGCTGACAGATTGACTCAGTAATCTCTCCAAAAAGGAGCAGAAGAAGGTATTTGACATCTTGTAACTTACTCTTGGAAGTGGCCTGCTCTCGCGGAGCTCCCTATTAGGAGGTTCCTGTATATGCGTTGGCGGTCATCTAATGGTATCTGTTCCTCCGTGAAGGTTTCTCCCTGTCAGTGAAGCCAGCCTATACTGAAAAGCCGAGAAGCACTCACTGTACAGCTGTTTCATCCTTATTGGGAATTATCAGCAGTGCGCATCTCACGAAACTCCGAAGAGTCTTGAACCCGCGACCTCCTGGCTAGTAGTTTTGAACACTCAACCGTTCGGCAGTGTGATCCCTGTTCGATAACGGCGCTGTCGGAGGACACTGATCTGTCTAAACAAGTGGATACAACACCTGTTTTGATGGTGTGACCTGGGACGAAGCTTCACTTACAATTCCGGTCGAAATGGACTCTCACAACCTGATCCTGACGTTTTTCGAGGTGTGGGTTATGAACATGTTTGAACAAGCTACGTTGTCTTGGGACGTTCTAAATGACCCACAGCAAGTACAAATCACAGGAGAACACCTTAGGTAGGTAGCCCACACTAGATGGCGGGACACCTATCAATTAAGTCCGATGCCTCCATTCCATACCGTGCCCGATTTCGCCACACAAACGTTCTTACAGTTTTAAAAAGAATACAATGGCGGATATCAGTTCTTTGGGATCTGGTCTTCGAGTCAGTACATACCTACTCGTTAAGATAGATAGATAATCAAATAAACAGCTGAGATTTGTTAACAAATTGAAGACAGTTGGTTGTTAGTGTAACCCAAGCGTCATGTAACTGTATGTTGTAAGCTGATCTGAAAATCAATCGATTCGTGTCACGAGACCAAGAGAGAGACTCAGAGTTTGTACAAATCGTTCATTGAGGCTTGTATTCACACAATGTCCGTGTACCGTGGTCCTGTACACGGACATCGTGTGACTGCAAGCCTCAGTGGACGATTCGTACGGGGAGGGGGGGGCGAGAGTGACCAAGTGGTTAGAGCGCGAATTTACCGACCGAAAGGTCCGTGGTTCAAACCCGACCTCTGCCTCTCGACTTCCCCTGTCTAGGCTTGGGCGACCTGGCAGTATCCCAGTCCTCATGCTTCCTTCGTGTGGCATGATTTTTCCACATGGTTGGAAGTCGATCGGTGCTACTCACCTGGTCAACAGTAAAGGCTGTCTACCACACTAGCGTTGACATGCCAGCGGACCTACGACCTTGTCATGGCCCATCTACATACTGTGACCGTGGTTGCACACTCCATACCTGGCCTTGATGCTCCTGTATGTAGGCCACACAGACCTTATCGTCATCAGTAGACAGCGTTCCTTGAGTGTTACTTCGGGTCTATCTAGAACATTCCTACTATAAAAGTGGAGTAGGTAAATCTGTAATCTGGGCACGGTTAAAACAAGTGACGCTTCTGGGTTGAACTGGAGTTAAGCAAATCGAAAAATCAGTTAATCAAAGCCCTTCAATTCCCTCATGAACTGTCTCACAATGACCTGAATGCGATAAGCCTCCCCAAAAGTCTAAAGTCTTGGTTTCGCAAGTGAGTGTGACTGTTTGGAGAGCCGCAACCACAGAATTTCATCAAATCTGATAAAGTTTAATATTATCCGATTTTATTTGGCCTTGTAAACTTGTCCTTTTTACTCCGGTTTTAGAAGTGCTGCAAAACGGGTCTGTACGACTTCCTACCCACCGAGTTCGATTCACGCTGTACCCTTAAGAAAGCACTCGAAAGAACTGAATAGGACGATTGATTGGCTTTGAAAGATGGTTTGCTTTTAGACGGCCGTGACAGGTAAAAGAAGCCGGCCAGAGTTGGTCGCTTCTGAGAACCAATCCCCGTTGAGGTACAGCTGAAGAATTGAGGCTATTTGAGGGTGTTCTAGTCTGGTTTGGCAGGTGACCGAATGACCTTCAATCCTTGATGGGACTTGCACATTGTCCTGCAAATTCGAGCGGTACCTCGACTTAAAGGGATGCATTGTGCGAACATCCAAAGGTTACAACCTTGACTTCATAGCGAGATGTAGGGAATTCAACTCAACCACGACTTACTTCCAACCACAGACGTTTCGTACGGTCACTATACTAGAGAAACCAACCAAATGAGTGTATGTTCGCTAAGTTCGTGCAATTTGGTTTCAAGTAGAACATAAGTTTAACGGAAACTCGGGGACTGCGCCTACCTGATGAGCCCCAAGAGGGGCGAAACCGTTCATGGGCTGTCGAGGAGTTTTCAGCAACCTTATGAATAGTGCAATACGTATATACATGTATCGCGATATATCAAATATCGTACCAACTGAAACACGAAGCGGCGTGGTGTAGCACACTGGGTTGCCTGGAAACATCACAAAAGAGAGATTCAGCTGGGTTCCAGGTGAGTCTCTCGCAAGGCCAAATTAGTTTGCAAATGAGCGTATATTCGCTAATGATGAGTCCCAAGAGGGACGAAACCGGTCGTGGGTTGTCGAGGAGTTTTCGGCAACCTTGTAAGTAGTGCACTACAAATTAACTTGGTTCCCAGAATCACACTACATCAGTAAACGCCATCATCCCACAAGGGCATAACTGTACTGTCACTCAAAACCAACTTGGTCTTGTTTTCCCGAAATTCTTTAATCTCCCGGGAACGTGCTACTGCAGGAAAGTGAGTCATCGACCTCATCTGCACTTGGCCGATGAATCACGCCGTAGGTCATGTCCAACAGATGTGCATCCTTCACTAAAGTGACCTTTCTTTGGATTGGTTTATTTCTTCAAGCGCAGGGAACAAAACTTGTCAAAATGCGGTCAACAGGTGGAGAGTCCGGAAAATCAGTTCATTTGGAGTCCTGAAATTCTACACAGCTTTGACTTTGGTATCAAGCATGGAAATACCAAGTTTAACTCTGAAAGCTGTACAGTTCGGTCCTTCTAAAGAGATCATCCTCAGAAGAGCACAATTTTTCGAGGTTTATCGTATTTTATCCCCTCAGTTGATTTCGCTAGGGCCGGAAAATTGCTCCTCCGTGGAGGCCACATGTTCTCCTCTGGGGGGAGCTGTTCGTCAGAAGATACTTACAGAGGTTAGTTGAAAGTGTTACGAAATAGAAGCGGGAGTGATATCTACAGAGCAGATCCAAGGAAGTATGTTCCATTCAGATAGGGGTCACGTGATTAACGGGCATCTGGTTGTTAGGACTCGAGAAGGCCCGGTCCAGAATTATGTATGCGAGTCATTGTCGAAGGATGACAGTTAGTTTCTCAAGATGCATCAATTTCAAGTCGACAACTATGGAGCCGGATTGAAGTAAATTTAGTTAGGAACAGTCTCTCCTGGGAGTGGGGCTTGCTAGGAGGTAATGCCGCACTTTCACTGCAGGTGTGTTCATTCGACCAAAGCGTTTCGCTCTTTTTTGTGTGGGTGTCCATATACTGCACACACACACACACGTCGGCTCCGTCATTCGACCATCGCTGTCGCCAGGATTGGTTGGCACGAGTACCCGATGTCGGTTAAATGTGACATGCTGTCGCCCGACAGATGGCACACTGTGTTTTGAGAGGTGCCTTTCGAATTGAGAGATACGATGGAATTAGTCCTGTGTTTGCAATCCGGCCAACTTCGTTCTTCCAATGGCAACCGTTAGGCGACGACGGTGGCACAAGCGTGAGTCTCAACTTTTTGTGTCACCGTGACTTATCGTTGATTTTTTCATCGCTGCTCTTCTCTTCGTCCCTCGTTCTCTCATGATTGATCTTTCTTGGAACTTGTATGTAGGAATTTCTTTACGATTCTTGTATCAGAGAAACGAGTGGTCCTTCTGATCACTATGTTCGCGTACACCGAGGAAGTTTTCACCATCTGTTACTATCCGTCTGTTGAGGGACGGTGTACTGTATCAGCGCAACGTGTAGAATTTAGCGTCTTTTTCTGGTTGAAAGATAACGCATGATTGGCGGCCTCCTTGTGTCATTTCGTCGTCAACGGTTCCCAGAATATACGTACAAATGGGTTTTATAGCGTGAAGCTGTGTAGTTGCTGAGATTTCGATCTGTGACCTTCGTCAAGAGCAAAATAAGCGTTTTTTGTAGTGTTCTACTCGTAAAGTTGCTGAAAATCCGTCGACAGCCCATGACCGGTTTCGCCCTTCTTGGGGCTCATCAGCTGGGCGCAGTCCCCGAGTTTCCGTCAACCTTATGTTCTACTTGAAACCAAATTGCACGAAATTAGCGAATATACACTCATTTGCAAACTAATTTG